GTGTCCCACATAACACAACCAGAGGCACTCACAACTGGAATATACAACTATGTACTCGGGGGGCTTTGGGGAGAAGAAGAAGAAGAAAAAGTTTGGCAGCAGATGTTAGCTCAGGGCCAATCTTTAAATAAATAAATAAAAATAAAGTATTGTATCTCATTGAAACAGCTCAGTGTAATGTATGCAATAACAAAAAGTCATAATCATTTTCATATAGCTGTTAGGTTACTTATAATATAATACACGCATCAAATACTAAAATAAATAGTGGTTAAAAAGTTCAGGGGCAGCTTGCTGTGATACACAAAGGCAGTGTGTTATGTTGTCAGTAGTAAAAAAAAAATCATCATAAACAAAAATTTTGGACTCCATGAGAATCTAAGTGGATCTTCTGATTTTTTTTACTGTGACAGATCCACTGTACAAAAGCTATATAGTGTTTTATATATTGCATTCTATTTTACTCTATTATTTTATGATGAAAAGTGAACACTGTAAAAGAAATATTATGATAGCAAAAGACTGTGCTAAGAGATCATTACAGCTTGCAATAGTTTTCCTTAATTAATTAGGTTTACTACATTTGGGTGGATAACTAAGATTTAAGGATTTGATAATGAATAATGTTTCAAAATGCTAATTAATATAAACATATTTCATATTAAAACAGAACTAGTAATAATATTTAACATTTAGCAAATATTTATTAAGTGAAAAGCCATATTCCAGAAGTATAAATTCATTCAATACTCATAATAATCCCATTAGTAAATTAATATGATTATTGCCGTTTTACAGATGGGAAAATTCTGGCACTGAGAGAAAATAAATGTTCAATGAATGTCCACATGGATATTAAGTGCCAGAGCAGAAATTCCAAAATGATATAGAATTTTCCTCAAAGAATACATGTTATTGTCTAATAGGCCCTAAAATTCATGCTGATAAATATGACATATAGAATATGCCATGGTACCTTTGATTTCTATTATTTTTTAATTACTATAAATGAATTATTGTGCATACTGTTGTGCTAGAATTTCTAAGTAGCCCTTTGGTCAATGCAATCTCATTACTTCTTCTGAATTATATAAAATATAATTATTACATGAGATGACATTTATATTCATAATATTGCAGTTAAAACAGTTGAGGAAAACTGCTTCAAATGTTTAGAGTAAATCATATTTAAAGCTTTGGCCAGAACCTTGATGACTAAAATACTCAATGATTCTGGGGCAGAAAATACCAAACATTGATTTATGATTTAATTTGATATTTTTCCTAATTATGTCAACTTCTTCACTCAAAAGCCTGTATTTAATTCATTCCATAATCCTACAAAATACATTACCACACATTTTGTAGCTCATTCAACTGAGGCTAACAGGATAAATACTGTGATTATTTTTTGTGGAAATGAATCAAGGTCAACTGTGAGTTCAGACCCAAAATCTGGACATGATTTCACCGTCCTGTTGTATTTATTTGGACAACAGTTTCTAATGACAGTTGGCAAGGTTGTTTGTTTCCTCTCTCATCAGAATATTATATAAGTTTATTGGTGAGTTGTAAGTACATTTATATACCGTGTGTCCTTTGCTTGAAGACTGTCTCATTAAAGATACACCTCATATTTCCACGTTTTAAAAATTTTTATTTTTATTTTTTAAAAGACAGAAAAGTATGCATATCTATATATAACATGCAAAAAATATAGTTACAAGTTGTTTTTGAAAGCATCATTTTAAAAGGTACTGATTTACTTAAAGGGTCTCGAGTATCTTTTACATATGTTTATTATAAAGAATAAGTAAAATAAAGTATATAGGACTTATTTGTTCAATAGAGATTTATTTTAAATTCATTTTTGTAGTCTGAATTGATTTTACTGGTTGCAATTAAAGTCAGAGCTATTCTCTGAGCAAAGTTTCCAATGTTAGACATGCCGGACAAATCAAAGCACTTAGGCCTAGGATTCCTCTGGAAGAAATCCTGGACCAAGTGAAAAATGTTTCATGAGCTAAATCAGAGGCTTTCCCAACAAGGTCTTGAAGCCAACCAGCTGACTTCCCATCTGTTTTCTCACCTAGGTCCCAGAAGGGATTTGGATAGAGTCTAAGGCACTGTTGACGTGCGTTTGGAGAATGAAAGTATTCTTATCTTCATTTTTAATACGTTCCATTCTATGTGTATTTAAATAAGTATTTTTTCTATAATGCCTTCTTAAAGCAAAATCCATGCAATATGGAGTTTGAAGGAGATGGTGTCACGATGGAGACGTTACAGGCCTGGATGAGAACATTGTGGCCTTAAAATTAGATACATCCCTGTGAGTTTGGATAATGGACAGATCTGTGGCCCAGTGAATTAGAAGGCAGGAGAGTCAGAGATGTGAGTAGTGTCAGAAGTGAGGAATACAATTTCTTCAGTCTTCTACTGCCAATCCTCTCAAATTTTTTAACCTCTGCAAAACGTTAACTTTAAGAAATATTTGTTGGAAAGCCATCATAGCAAATAAAACTAGATGCTGCAATGATGATAATAATAGCGGACATTTCTTCAGGGCTGACTCTGTGACAGGGACTTCACAAGTGCTATCTTCTTTAGTCCTGACACAATCTTATAACGTAAGTATTATTATCATTATTTTGCAGATGAGGAATCTGAGGTTTAGAAAGTATAAGTAACTTGTTCAAGGTCCCAATGGTGGTAAGTGGTCTGCTGGCCTCAAAGCCAGGTCTACCTGACTCCAGAACTCACATTTATCATCTTTTTGGGAGCCTTTAAAGTCAATCAACTGGTCCTTCTAACTTGCTGCCTGTGAGGATAAACTCAGATCAAGTCTGGCTCAACCTGAAATTTCTACCAGAAGGCCAAACATTTTGATTGATGCTTACATGAGGGGGATGTGCTCAATGTTTTAGATTCTAAACAATGTAAATCCTTATAAAAATAAAAGTTCATAATAGTACAAATAGAATAAAATCTTAATTGAAGAAAATGATCACCAAATAGGAGTCTATCTAAAAATCCTGTATTTTCTTTTCTAGTTCAGAAAACAGTTGTGCAAGTGATTTTTCTCACACTTTAATATCTTGAATATAAAGAAGATCATGGACATGGAGAAAGGAGATGTAATATTGTTGTCATATATGTTTTTCTTATGCAACTGGATGCTGCCAATTATTTGTGTCTTTCAGGAAGCTTCATCACCACTACATATGCATTAAGATGCCATTTCATATTTTCTAAAATAAAGAAACATTCTCTTTTTATTCTATATTGTACTTTGGAATGTTTGTACCTAGGATCCATTAAAAAACTTAGCAGGCCCACTTTTAAGTTTTGGTCCTGTAAACATACTAGCATATGAATGTGCAAAGATACATATATAAAGATGCTTCTTATAACTTCAGATGTAGTGGAAACATATTTAAATGAATGTCCTTTAATAGCGGGATTAATATTACGTACAAAATAACATCAAAAATAGTGAGATAAATATATGTGAAATGGTTTTACAAATGTTATTAAAATGTTACATTAAAAGTTGAAAAATGCAGAATGAGATGTAAAATGTGAACCAGATTTGGTTAAAAATCCTATTGTGTGTGTATGTGTAATGTGGTGAAGTTTGTGGGCAAACAAAAGAACTCTAGAACTATTCATACCAAATTATTCAAAAGTAAATGGGAGATGCAAGTTGTGAGGAGACTTTCACTTCTGAAATTTAATTTCTACACTTCTGATTTATTTTATTTTATTTTTACAAAAATATGTGTATTGGTTTTGTTAGAAATGAAAAAGAATGTTTTTTACCATTTGCTTGGGCTTCAGTGCTCATGACTGTAAGATGCAACTTGCCTTTCCAGTCTAATTCCAGGCATCCTGTCTTAATTACAGCTTTAACATGTGCCCTTGATTCCTCTGCCTCTTTGCCTTTCTGTATCTCATACCTTCTCTGGGGGAGGCCCTTCCCTCACTCCTTATGTTCAGGTTCCCTTATGTCCCCAGTTCTAATTCCAGTCTTCCATAACACATTTCCATGTGTATATATCTTAGCCAATTCCCCTCCTCTATTCTCATTTCAAGTTTTGCGTTCTTCTATTACATTACGTATCATAGTCTGCCTTGTAATAAACTTACAAATGTGTCCATATGAGCCACCCAGGAAATTGAAAAGTCTTAACCCTTATTTATTTCCTTACAATTGGGCTACATTACATTAGCAGGTGCCCCATAACATTGAAAAATTAGCAACATTTTATTTTTGTGAAATTTTTGAACAGTTTCAGCTTTTCTTTATATCATAATCTGTTACTGAAGAGTCCCCTCCACTCTATGTCAAATTGCCAACCTTGTGACTTGTAATCAACTCCCCAATTCTATATTGTAATTTATATATAATAACTGCATTTGCTTCCTCTATTATCCTATATAAACACACTTCAAGGAGCTTAAATAGGAGATGACAGTCCAAATAAAAAATCTAAGGCATTCGCAGTTATTTCATAAAATGATGCCAAAATATTGTCACATACAGTATCTCACATGACAAATTTAATAAAGTCTTCTCAGAGAAACACAAATTTTTATAGTAGGCTTCCTATATAAATCAGTCCAGGTGGTTTCCTTTTACAAAGACAGGCAGGATTATTTTCAACATGATGGAACCAGGGGAAAACGAGTGAGAACCCAAACTGATTTGCAAACGGGAGTTTCCTCAGTAGGCATCTGGGAGGGGAGTTTTGCTGTGTCACAAGTGACTAGTCCCTGGTTTCAGAGAGAGTGACTCATACCCCTTTGAAACAAGAGATAAGTGGGAGAAAGAGCTGTGTAAAAATTATTTTACAACTATTTCCCTTTCAGCTATGACTGCTTAAACTGGAATGTGATCCAGAATAGCTTCCCTTTGAATCCAACATTTGTCTGAAGCATTTTTATTGTCTCTCTTTTCCCTCATCCCATCTCACTTCTTCCCTGCCTCTGTTCAACAGATTTACACTGACTGGGCCAACCACTACCTAGCAAAATCGGGCCACAAGCGTCTGATCAAGGATTTGCAACAAGACATTGCAGATGGAGTACTGCTAGCTGAAATCATCCAGATCATTGGTAAGAGCTGCCCTCTGAGAGAAACCATGAGACTCTCTGCCCCCACCCCGTTTGGTAAAATACAATTTATGTTGAATGCATATGAACTTGGTCCATGTGTCTCTGAGATTAATGTAGCTCTCCTGTGATTTAATTAAAAATGTTTGTGCGAGAATGTTTGAAAAAGGCGGTTTGGCCATACTTTTAAATGGCTAGAACTGTATCTTTACATACACTGAATTGTCAGAAATGAATGCTTCATTAAACCATATGTCTCCCATGTGTGCATTTCCTTAGCTGGAGCAACTCATACACTCTGAGATTCCTTGAAACTGTATCCTGATCCAGAGGGACAATTGTGAAAGGTTTCATGTCAGCAGTCATTTGGCACAGGCTAAAGAATTAGCAGCAACTTCCTTCTCACTCACTCTTTTTTTTTTTTTTGCTTGATTCGTGCATATGGAATTGGCGGCTGCTAGCAAGGGTGTCCTCTTGTACACGGCCTGGGAGACAGAGTGGATGTAGCAGCAGCATTTTGCTTGGTGTTTTTGTTTTCTTAGTCTCCTTTTTTTGTGTTTCACTTCATTGCTTAAGCATGTCGTTCTTTTTTTCTCTCTTTTATTTTATTTCTTGGCTTTAGCAAATGAAAAAGTTGAAGATATCAATGGATGTCCTAGGAGTCAATCTCAGATGGTAAGAATTATATTTATTCTAAATACAATGCTTATCTTCACTTCCAGATATAACTGCATTTGTAAATGGACTGGAAGTTTCCTTTGCATGTCTTCTTGCTTGTTTAAGAAACCATTTGATCACATCCTATGCATTTCTTTGGGTGCAATTTATGAACAAGTGATAGCATGAACACAGCTGAACATGTATGACTCTCAAATAACGTATCTCCATGTGTTTTATCATGTCCTTGACATTTTTTTGTTCTGGTGTCTGATAATTTAGCTTAAGACTGGCCTTGGTAGCAATAAATCCCATTTCCAATTTTAAGTGGAGCCTTTTTGTCTGAACAACTGGTTTGAGAAGAGAGCTTGCCATGTGCATTTTAAAAATATATAAATAGTATTTTCTTTGTTCATGACAAAGTCCAATGTAAACACATGGACTCTTCAACACTTTTGGAAATAGCTCTGAAGGCATGCTGCTGGAAGTTTGCTGAGCAGTGACTGACTGTGAGCTATGATTCATAGCCTTTTCCAGAAAGCCGTCTATTTACAGGTCTGTCTCTCCCCAGCCCTCTCTTGTCTTTACTAACTGGGAAAGCTTAAAGTTTTATAAAATAATAATAGATTGATAAACTGCTGAAATAAAAACTCACCCTTTCTTAATTAAATAGCCACTACTTAATTTTATAGGACAACCTGAAGCATAAAATGCCTTAACTGAAGTTACATCAGCAGATAGCAGCAGGAAGGACAGCCAAAATCCACAAAATGGGGCTCCTCCAAAACTCTTTTTAGCATAGAATAGACATTTTAAATAAACTTAATGAGTTCTTCATTGTCAGAGACTGGAAGAAGGAAAAAACTTGTGAACTTTTTTGACCTGCTGACCTGCTTTACTTTATGTCAGAAAACTGAAATCCAAAATAATAAAAAGAAATTTATTTTTAAAGAGTGATTAACTAGCACATCTGGGAGTGTGTGTGTGTGTGTGTGTGTGTGCGTGTGTGTTTAATGAGCACTCTGAGGACCTATTACAATGTCATGAACTTTGTGTAGCTGCTGGGAAAAAAATCACTGTGAAGAAAGGTTCTCTGTAACATACTTCAGTTTTAAAGAAACTTCTTGATCCAATTACTCTGGGCACAAACAGGCTCTATGGAAATTAATTACAGTTGTTCTCTGAAGTTCTACTGAAAGGAATTACAATACCTTCAGATCCTGCTACAATTAAAGCTGTGTGATGTTTGGAAAGACGTGTAACCTCTCTGAGCCTCAGCTTTCTCATTTGTAAAATGAACCCTAATTAGGATATGATAATGACATATAATTATGAACATACTTTACTACCTAAACTGGAAATGTAAATGCAGAATGGTATTGCTACAGACTTTTAAAAGAGAGTATTCATGAATGAACATCTATTAAAAGATTTTTAGGGTTTTGTATTAAAAAGCTCTCTAGTCCTTAGTATCACATACTATGTTTCCTAAACCCAGAACTGTTGGTTTTGCTTTTATTATTTCAACCAGAAGGAAGTGTTGGATACTAAAACTCTTACCTTCTCTGCTGTCATTCCAAGTTGATTCTGATGACAGAGAATCTGATAAACAGCCAAGGTAATAGTTCATGACAGAAAAGAAAACCCCAAAACTCCAAAGCTCATAAGTATGGATAGAGAAGCAGTCCTTAGATATTTATCTGAAACATCTGTAGCAAAGATTCTACAAATCTGTAAAAATATTCTCAGGAGTATCCAACTGTTAATTTTTGTTACTCCTTACTCTTTGTTAGCTACAAATTGTCATGTGACATCTAGTATGCATGTGATGTTGATGTGTCTGGTTCTGATAAAAAAAAATCAGAAAAATCAAAGCCTGAGAAATTCAAGTGCTGTGAGAAGGGTAGTTTCTCCAGCCAAAAAGTATTAGTCGGAATCACACTGAATGTTGAGTAAGGATGACTTGGAGCCTAATTTTTTCTCATATGGTTGACTTTTGAATCTGAAATTGGCATGTTCCCAATATGTTGATTCAGAAGAATACATAAGACATAAATGTACCTTTTTGGGTTGAATTATTTTTGCCTCTGTTCTTAAGAATTGGCATTGATGCTATGCTATTAATGAATAAAAGTTCCAGATTTTATCTGAGACAAGAGAGTAGAGGAGAGAGCATTATTATAGGATGACTAGGCTTATGAATTCCTGTATGTATTCCAAACAGGATGAGGCCTGTTTCTTTATTGCATAAACAACTAAGGGGGGCTGCGTTAGTAACAGTGCGTGTTGTCCTTACTCATAGAACTACTTTGATTTTTTTTGTGTATCTGATCTTTTATGAACATTGGTTGCTATTTGTGTTTAACAACAGAAGATAAGCTAAAACTGGGGCTGCCCCATGGTGTAGAGGTTAAATTCAGTGTGCTTCATTTCGGCAGCCTGGGTTTGCTGGGTTGGATCCTGGGAATGGACCTACACCACTCATCAGCCATGCTGAGGCAGCAACACATACATAAAGTGGAGAAAGGTTGGCATAGATGTTAGCTCAGGGCTAATCTTTCTCAAGCAAAAAAACAGAGGAAGATTGGCAACAGATATTAGCTCAGGGTTAATCTTCCTCAGCAAAAAAAAAAAAAAAGAAAAGAAAGAAATAAAAGGGAAGGTAAAACTAGGTCTGCTACTATTCCTAGTCACAGATTGTCTTTATTTAAATTTCAAACTTGATAACCTTTGTTGGATTGTTTAAAGCCTCTAAGAATAGAAGTTCTCTTGTGCTATGAATCTACAATACATTGATGAATTCCCATAACAGCCAGTAGTTCATATTCAGCCAATATTAACTGAGCACAAAAGATACCAGGTTATAGGGACACTTGAGGGTCAGAGGAGAAAATATTTAAATACATAATAGCAACAGTGTTGCATAGGCAAGGGCAAAAGTAGTGCGAAGGGAGTGAGCTCAGTGTGCTCCAGAAACAGATAGAAGGCCACTGTGGTTTGAGCATGGTAAGAGGTGTTTGGAGGGGACAAAGGAAGCCTGATAATGAAGGGCTGAAGTAAGGAGTTTGTATGGTGGTTGAGGAGCCTTTGGAAGACTTTTAAAGCTGGACTGTGGCATGATCTCATGTAAATGTTAAAGGATTACCATAGATGCTTTCTGGGAATTATAGAATACCTACATGTTGGTCTCCAATTGAAAGTGGGAGATGAAGAGTATAGGAAGTATGAAATGGCCCCCAATTTTTTGGCCTGAATGAGTTAGTGGTTACCATTAGATAAGTAGCTTATTATGGACGGAGAAAACAAGCTAAAGATGGAGAGGGGAGGATGACAGATTTACATTTTGACAAGTATGCATTGGAACATCAAGTAGGAGGTGACTTCAGGCAATTAGACGTGTTTCTGAAGATCAGAAGTAACGAATTGGTCAGAGTATGCCTAGTGCAGAGGTAATGGCTGAAGCCATGGATAAGGATGACATCTCACAGGAGGTCTGTGTAAAGTCAGAAGGGAGGAAAGCTGAGGTTCTCACACTGGGGAGTATCAATATGTGTGTGATGAACAGAGGTGTAGAGTCAGAAAAGGGTGAGAGAGTAAGGCCGTCATTGAGAGTGCCAGTCAACAGATGTGGATTCTTAATCCGTAGGGGCAGCTCAAGCTTGGACTAGTACTTAGGCTAACCCAGTGAGATAGGGCAAAGTAAGATGAGCAGAATCTGGCAAATGCAGTCAAATGCTACATAGCCAACTCTCTGGTATACTGGAACAAGGAAGTTAGTTCTGGTAGTTAGAAATTAGATAGTCGCTAGTGACCTTTATGTAAACATCTTCTATAGAGTGATCGTGTGTTAAGGAGTAACAAAGAGGTGCAGATATCCAGTGAGTCTTGAAAAATCTTTCTAGGAGTATCCTGTTGAAGAAAGAATGAAAAATACAAGTTTGAGAGGAAGGCAAAGTCAGGAGAAGTTTTGCAAGAGGGGAAGAAGGCAGAGAAGGAGGAAGCAGTAGGGAGACAGGAGGGTCCCAGGGAATAGGGAGACCGGTGATGATCCTCCTAAAGGGAGTAGCAAAGGAGGAAATGGGAATTCTGTGTGGAGGATTTAATGTTGGATAAGAATGGGTATAGCTTTTCCTTTGTGTCATGTCACAAGCAGATATGGTTGTGTGAAGATATGAGTATTTGAAAGTGGATTAAATAGACATGGAAGGAATTCAAATGAATATGTTAACTTCAGAATATTAGAGAATCCTAATGCCTTCTTTTCCATGTGATTCTGTGATGGTTACCTTATAATATGAAGAAAAATTCAACTCTGGTATCTCATAATAGATAAAGAAGATTCAAAAATAATTCTTTTAAATAACATGGACCAATGAGCACATATTTGAGAAAAATATGAATTTGTCCTTTCAGCAGTTTATTAGCTTGATTATTGAGAAATTTTGATTTATATTTACTCTAAATTTCAAAGTCATAGTTATATTTCCTTAATAAGTTTGACACTAAACTCATCCTGAAAAACAGAACTTTTTTGCAGGAGCTTAGTCAACACTATATTTAACTTCATCTGAAGATGCAGTTACTAATGTGGATGGCACCTGTTGAATAATTTCTAGGTGGGTGGTATCAGGATTCAAAATATATGCTGCATGCCACAACTTCGGTGAGATTACATGAGGAAATAAATTAGTAAACTATAAATACCAAGAATGTCCAGAATGCCCAGCAGATTAAAAATAGCAGAAAAAATGCCCAACATTTATTTGAAATGCAGAGGCACAAGTGCAAGGTTCTTACACAAAAATGTAAAACATGTAGGGCAAAAATTGTTTTGAAAACAAATTTTTTAAAAAATTTTAAAATAGAACATATGGCACCAGGCCAGTTAGCTCAGTTGGTTAGAGCGTGGTGCTAATAAAATAGACTGTTATATTTAAGAATCTTTACAGAGGCTGGCCCTGTGGCCGAGTGGTTAAGTTCTCTTGGTCTGCTTCGGTGGCCCAGGGTTTCGCAGGTTC